AGTATTCTACAACTACTCGACTAAAATGTGGTGGGGCCCCATCATGCATGAACCACATGATATATCACGTCGTATCGCCAAAGGTATCTGTATCTGTAACGTGTGGAGGGTGGGTTAACCCACGGCACTTAGACCTCACTAGGACCATTGTGCATCCTCCTAAGTAGATATGCACATCCTAGTTAGTGAGCCACCCTACAGATTTATTGTAGTTGACAACGTCGCCAAGAGGTGCTTCTCTTATATCGGCAGGTGGTAGCCAATTCTCACCGAACACAAATCTTCTAATAAATGAGAACTTCGTGTAATCGTAGAGGATATATATGAACGATGGGCTGTCTCACCTTCTTGTTCACACCCCCTACAGAGTGCGGATTCTGACAGCTGGTCAGTCAAAATGCCTGTGATCAGGCGCAGATTCTGTATCGTCATAGTCAAGTATTTGTTAGCTGTAGTGTTGTGAGGATAACTTAGAAGCTCTTGGTAAGTCTGCAGCTTCTTGTTTCATACCATATTTCATTGAATTTCACAAGAGACTGTTCTTTAATTAGGTTTATTACTTTCGATGTTATCAGTCCAATAGAAGGGCCAGGTCCAAAAAGTAATAGGTTGGCTGTCTTCTTGGCTAGTGAATGAGCAAAACGGTTACCTTTCGATGTGGCGTGACCTTTGATACATATTAAGTTGACCACATTGTTGATGGATAATTCGGCCAAAGCTTTGGACATTCTAGTACTAACCCTGAGTAAATTCATGGTCTTTACAGGGGAGTAGTGCTTGTCTGCTATCTGTATTGATGAGCTAGTTTCTTCCAGTGATGTTATTTCTAGTGATATTTTTTTGCTGCTGATAATAACCGTGAGCTCGGTTTGAACTACACTGGCACTACTGCTCACGGCCCATTTTATGTTCAGGTTTAAGGATCTGGAGTATATTCCACATCATGAGCCATGTTTTGTTTTAGAACCGTCGGTGTAGATATGTCAAAAGTAAATCATACAAAAGTTCTTGAAAATTGTTTTGAAGAAATTCCAAATAAAGTTCTTCAGTTAGTTTTCTTAGCAATACAAATGGCTCAATTAAATATTGTTCTATGATTCCGGCACACACGTTGACGGGTTAAAATTGATGCTGATGCGCTACAATAAAAGCATGCGAATTTTTCTCTGCCCACAAATTCAAATTATGATGCCTCTCGTTTAGAAGTGACAACCTTAGAGCATATAAGACTAGAGATATCATTCAATGTATTTTGTTATGTATTAGCGTGGTCGTCACTTTTGGCGTGAGGGGAGAGGAGTGGGTACTCCATTCTCAATGGCGTACGGTTTTAAAGGGTTCGTATTTATGTTTACCAATAACTAATAATTTAGATAATTGATTCGCATGATTAATAAACAAATTTATTAAACAATGTTATTTTTCTATTTATGTTAAGCTTTCGTTATACATACTGTATTGTACATGTTTTACTGGAAATGACTATATGTTCATTTAGGATTGAACACCTTTTTTTATTATAGATATAGGTTTCGAAACTGTATGTGCTCTAAGGTGACAACTATGAAGATTAGTCTTCATAGTGACAATCAATGCAAAAAACCATTTTAAACGAAAACAAGTAATTTTATCGATATTGATCAAGAGCACTTTTTTTTTAGATTGAGGTTTAAGGTGTCCAAAAATATTATTGTTGTGTCTTTATCATACAGGGTGTAAAAAATATTAGAATTATTGTGTTAAAGCTAGGTCGTCCCTGGCAAACTAAATAAGCTAGATGTGTTTAAAATGGTCCATTTTAAGGATACTTATCCAGTATCCATTGTATTTTAGGAATATTGAAGTATACCAAGGATTTTAAAAATTATTTAAAAAAAAAATTTTCTGTAGTGTCCATTATGGGGCCATATCTCCGTAAAGGGGGGTCGGAAAATGTTAAGTAATTTATTAGGTATGAAAACTAATATAATTTAAATGGCCGCCCCTAGATCTTCTGCAACAGTCGATCCTTTTCAGTTAATCTTCGATGACTTTTTTAAACAATTCGGGCGTTATGTTGGCAATAACTAGGCGGATATTGTTTTTCAGATGTTCTAACGTTTCTGGTTGATTGGCAATTGGCATAAACACGACTTTTAAGGTAACCCCACAGAAAATATCTAATGGAATTAGGTTGCAATGCGGCAATTTTGTTTGTTTACGTACCCTGACAGATAGAAATGCGCTTCATCAGAAAAAAAGAAGTCAATATCGAATTCCTGCTGAGCTAATACCCAAATTGCGTAAATTCGTCACTGCTCATGGTCTCTAGGCTTCACTCTTGAGTTAGCTGAATTTTATATGGGTGTAAATGCAAATCCCAGTGCAAAATGCGCCAAAGGGAGCCATAAGAAAAGCCTAAAACATTAACTGCAGCAATATTTTCAACTGAACGTGCATGACGATGATACGCAGGCCTTCTCCTATCTGCAACACTTCCAGTATCTTTAAATTTTTTAAGACATTCCGAATAGTTAGCTCAGTAGGCCGAATACATTGACCACAACCTGCGCGAAAATACGGTTCGTACAAACACAGAAAAAAGAACATTATCCTGTGATACGAAATTGTTGTTTTGATAAAACAATTGCACAATTTGCATGCGTTGAGCGGTCGTGAAGCGATCCATTTCGTAAATGTGTTCCTACTATGAAGAGTGAGACTAGTTCCTACTATGAAGACTAATCTTCATAGTTCCTACAACCTCTGTTTTGAACTCGCGTATCGGGGACAACACTAATGATTTATAATTGCTGCGGTAGGAGGTGTTTGTGTGAATGCGTTTTGTTTGTTTTCATTTACGCCGTGACTAGCAGTACATCGGATGTACACGAAATATTTGTACATCGGATGTATCCCCCATTATTTGTACATCATAATTCTATCCTAACTTTATTTCAGATGTTGGAGTGGAAGACTTACGTATTTTTCTGTAGTATTTTATAAACCTTAGAAGTAAATTTCACATACATGAACAAATAATAATACCGTGACAACAAGAAGACGAAGCAACGACTTTTAGTAGGGTGTTGGCTTCACCGCCACCAGAAAATTTGAATCTATACCTGGCTACGCCGACCGGCATAAACCCCAACGGCTTACCTACTCTGTCAAAAGGAGACCGATGTACAAATAAAACGCGTACATCCGATGTACTGCTAGTCGTCTTTCATTTAACTTTAAACTAAACCTAAAAAAGTCCACTCGAGCATATAAAATACCTAATATATAGGTGGAAAAAATCACTGCAGTGATTTTAGATTTTACCTAATATCTTCTTTTAAAATAAATTACAGAAAATGGACAGATAAAAAACTGCACTTTTATTTCGAAAACTGAATTTAATAAAGTAAAAGTTGGAACCATTAAAGCATTTGTTTTTTTAGGTTAGGTTTAAAAATCATAGATGACTTGCGCACTACAAATCAATAGTGTTGTCCCCGATACGCGAGTGTTTTTTGACGCTTCGAAAACAAGTGCTTATTACCAACTGTCTGATTTACATTAGTACCAATATAGGAAACTAAAATTGGACCACCCTTTAGAACTCGTCGCGTAGATTCCTAAAATGTTTATATGTATGGGTCTATATCTAACCGTATCCAAACTACATCAACATTTTGTGAAAATATCCAGAAAAGAAATAAAAATAAACATCTTTTGATTTTAAAATCAATAATATACATTGTTGAGAGTTTATATCAAAGAAGGGTAGGTTGACTTATTAGGGTCGGTCTTGTCACCTTCAGATAAAGTTCCAGTTAACTAACCAACGGATATATTATCCGAGAGTTATTATCCGATAGATAATTAGGTTTCCATCTTTTCAAGAGAAATAATCTATATGGTAGTTATCTGGTATTTTTTAACGTTCTGTGGTCATGTAACTACCTCCATATCAATTTATTTATGCGTTCGTATTGCGTTCGATATGTCACTTTCACTATCACTTGTCGTTATTTCGTTCTGTCACTTATTTGAAAGAAGTTTCTTTATTTTTCTGAAAATATTTATTATTTAAAACTCCATAAAGCAAATGACAAAAAAGAAAAGATCGACCAACTTTCAATAAGCAAAATTATGTCTAAAGCACAAAGCAGTACTACAAAATAAAAAACTGTACAAAATAGAATTTTGTTAAACTTACAACCTAGTAGTAATGTTGTTTTGGTTCTTTCCGTTCTAAATCAGCACAAAATAATTAAAACACAATACACGACAAAATAACCCACTTATAAATAACTTAAACAAGCAATATAAAGATACTACTAGTCGTTGAGAATAAATAAATATGATTTTCTATGTGTCAATAAAATAATGAAGTTAAACATATGCAAGTAACAATACAGGAAAGTAGTAATACTGGTTGCCTAGACGTCAGTAATAATTTAAAAACACATTTATATATAAATAATATAGTTAAAATTAGAAAAAATATTGTATATATGGCATTTTATGTAACTCGTTCACGTTGCGGGATCTCGCTCTGCTCGTCCCGCAAATATTCACTCGTTACATAAAATAAGACATTTCGCATCTGTTTTCATTAACAGCTGTTAAAGGTATGTAATTGGTTGCTAATGTTGTTCACTGACTCTAGAAATACATTTATAAAAATTTAAAAACAATATAATTTAGGTAACCAAACCAAAAGCACTCAAAAAAATACTGTCACTGTAATTGTAAGTGGAACCATAATTACGTCATCCCTAATTTAGCGCGTATTGTCATTTAAGTGATTAAGTATTACTGAAAATATTTGTTCACATTTTTCCTCTGTTGCTGAATGGGTATATTCAGATGATCACTAGTTTTCACTTTAACTAAAAGTACGAATGTACTGATAATTTTTAATGAAAATATGTTCTAACGTTCATTATAATACAGATCAGTGGTTCATTATCTCACTGAATCAGTCAAACTGTTTCAGCGAAACTGACACTTCAGAACCCACCTTAAGCATCTGAAACCGCAGAATACACTTTTAACGCTACATCTAGTTACCCTACGTCACTACATGTTAAAGCTATCAAAATTTTTCATTCACAGTAAATTTTAGTAAACGAGTCCAGTGTACAATTATGAGCCATCCTACTAAACGTTTGAACGAAGCAAACGTCTCAGCAGACCCAATTTTAGAATATATTATCCCAGTAAAACGTTGTAGATATTATGATTACACAAAACTGTTACCAGATGAAATATTGATATACGTATTTACCTATTTCGATGAAAAAGAGTTGTACACTATTTTAAGAAGGGTATGTAGACGATGGTATTTTTTGACAGCTTCTCCAACGCTTTGGAAAAAGATATCTGCTCCCGAAGAAGTGCCTTTGAAAATACTTTGTAGTTGGTTGGAGCAATCTCCTCTGCTTACTGAATTAGAGCTCACAGGAAGAAACGATGTTAACGTCATAGCTAGGAAAGTATCGAAATTTTGCAAAAACTTGCAATCGTTAAAAATCGTAAATTCACACGGTACGAAAAGTTCAGAACTTTTAGAAAGTAGAACTCTGTGTCGGATGTTAAAAAACTGTAAGTACCTGACCAATCTCTATTTCAGCGGAGTGAAGATTTTGTCGTGTAAGTTTTTTCAAATAATGTCGAGGAGAAAGCCATTGGGCGCGAAAAAGTGCAGCTATTTCGGGCCGGTCAGCCAAAAACAAATGAAAGCTTTGATAGAATCGATAGTGACCAGCGATAATTATGACGCGGCTGCTTTGGTCACTTCTGGCAACAAGAAAATCAGTATTAAAGAGATTTCCAGCGGTGGGGAGGAGGTGCCTAATATTGACTCTATATGGAATGATATTATGAACCATTTTGATGAGTCTTTTGACGAAGCGGATGAAGACTATTTTCCAGAAGAAAATATAGATATGTGACGTATGTTTGATTTTTATTTAATTCCTAATGTAGAGTGATAAATATAAATAAATATTGGTAAAACTAATATATTTTTACATTAAATACTTTAGTTTTAATTTCTTTTATTCTTCAAACGATCACATTGGTAATATTGCTCATAGGTTTTTATAGTTCTTGGATTGTTTAGATGTTTTAATGTAATAGGAAACTATCTCATGTGCATGGGCGTCCGCAGGAAAAAAGTCAGGGGGGTCAATCCCAAAAATGTTGTACATGTATATGTACTTCAAAAATAATAATAGTAAATTAAAATAAAAAGCTGGGGGGGGGGGGTAACCTTCTGATTCAGTGTCTGTCTCAGAAGTTATCACATCAATACATTTTTACTTTCCTATCTGTATACAGATATAAGGAAAGTATAGGAATCATGATTTTTTTCGACCTCGAGTTTTTGACGGATTTTTACGTTTTGAGGTCCCCTGAATCCGTTTTGACTATTTTCGCGATGATGTCTGTGTGTGTGTGTGTGTGTGTGTGTGTGTGTGTGTGTGTGTGTGTCTGTAGGTCGCATAACTCATGAACCGATACACAGAAAAACACCAAATTTGAAACTTAAGCTTTATTCCAGCGTCTAATGAACTGATTAGATTTTGGGCAGAGTCGGAACATCTGGGGGGGTACTTTATAGGTGGTCATTTTTATATTTTATGGAATATATCTGTTATTTACGTTTGGAGAAGAAAATTCTTCAAATAAAAGTTACTTCTAATATAATTATCTATAATTTTTGTTCTATCCAAAATTTTCCTAAAATGGTCCGTATTCGAGAAATTTGACAAAATGTAAAAAAAATATTTTTTTATAAAAATTGTTCAAATAAAAGTTGTTTGTAATATAATTCTCTATAATTTTTATTCTATACATAATTTCTCTAAAATAAACCGTATTCGAGATATTTGAGAAAATGTGTAAATTTCGAATTTTGAAGAAAACTCAAAAACGGATAAAGAAAAAAACATTAAATTTTAAACTTAAGATTTATTTCGGCCTGACGTGAAATGATTAGATTTTGGACAAAGTCGGAACATCTAGGGGGGTACTTTATGGGAGGCCGTTTTTATATTTTGTGGAATATATCTGTTATTTATGTTTGGAGAAGAAAATTGTTCAAATAAAAGTTACTTCTAATATTATTATCTATAATTTTTGTTTAATGTCAAAATTTCCTGAAATGGTCCGTATTCGAGAAATTTGACAAAATGTGCAAAATTCTAATTTTTATGAAAATTGTTGAACTAAAAGTTGTTGTCGAAATTGTTTATGTTTTAATTATTATTGTAATGTGAGCAGTTTCTGACCAATCTGGTCATGCTCTAATCCTTTGAGTGCCTCTGCCTTGTTAAGGCCTTTTTATGACCCCACTTGACCTTAAAACCAGGAATATTTGAAGGGGATAAACCTCCTTTACCCAACTATAAGGTCGCCTATGCTGGCAGATAGCCGATATAAATCATTTATTCGGGAATGGAATAAAATGGTGAGTGCTACAATGGCAAATGGAAAGTAAAAGAATTTGGTGGATGTCTCGGGACTCTTTCGAAAATTATATAAATATGCGTTTGCAGTTATGGGCAGTGGAAATCGAGTCATAGCTGTGAGAACATCGATAAAGTAAATGTGATATAAATTAGTATAAGTAGAGGTGTTAAATAATTTATAAATATAAATAATGCTTAAGTATTAAATAAATGAATTAGTACGTAGTGTAAATATATTATAAATAAACTGTTTTATATAAATAATTTATTTTTAAATTAAACAATCGTTACATTATTTTATGTTTTCCATGGATAGCTTTTAGAATGAGTTAAAGTGATTTTTATTTTTTTCTCGAAAACGAAGCTAGATATAAAGAAAAAAACGAGTAATTTAGTTGATTAATCTAAAAAAAAAAAAAATATAAAAACTCCAAAAAAAGTGAGTGGCGTACTTTTGTTTTAATAAGATTGTTCGTGGTGCCTACTAATACGCCACTGGACCCAATAATTTCAATCTAGTTAGGACTAAATAAGCGCCTTATTACTTAAAATAACTACCAAATTTAAACCAAATCAGTTTAAGGATATTATTTATGATATCAGGGCAGGCTCCAGCATTTTTGCACTGTGTGCAAAATCCTGAGTTAGCGCCTCCCCTCTATCTAGCCTAGATTAGATTAGGAGTTGGACGTTATTTGTCCTTGTCCACCGCGACCTTTTCAGATCTATCTAGATCTATCTAGCCTAACTACTACAATTTTTTTATACCGGGTTTTCAAGTTAAAGTGTTACAGTTAAATACCGCCGAAAATATGCATTTTATAAAAAATGTTTCAGACAAAAGTTTTATAGTTTTTTGGGGGAAAATTTTGGCGAAATTCATTTTTTTATAGCTGACCATAATATGGCCGTATCGAGGTCGACTTTTTTATTTCAAATTGGAACCCCATTTTTTTACATATTCTTAAAGTTCATAAAAAAATAGGAAACTTTTAAAGGAAATATTTTTTTTATTGGACTTTTACTTATTGAGTAACACCTACTTGAAAATTTTGCTGCGCAAAAAAAAAGTTGGCCATATTATGGCTAGCTATAAAAAAAGATTTTAGCCAAAATGTTTACCCCAAAAAATATAAAACTTTCGTGTGAAACTTTTTTTTATAAAAGGCGGTATTTAACTGTAACACTTTAATTTGAACACCCGGTATAGGTCTAAAAAATAGGGATACTAAAAGAAGAAAAAATTTACGTAAAAACTAAATATTTTTAACATAAACTTATTTTCAAACGAGTACATCTACTTTAATTTCAGCAAATTGTATTATGATTTCTGTAATATCGGTTTTCTCACATAATAATAGCAAGACCACAAAGTCGATTTTGTGTGATTGTGGTACGTAGTTAAGTCTTGACCCGATTTAATTTTAAGAAACTCCTTTCTACTGTAGCGACAGTTACTGGAGTTACTGGAATAAAATAGCATTGTATTGTCACCGGAACTATAAATGGATAAAAAAGTCAGTCTGACAAGTAGATGTCGGTCAAAATCGACTTTCTAAATTTGTTACATTCTCTATCGCAGGGGTGGCGTTGCAGGGCGCTGAGTTTCTTACAGATAATCGCAGGGGCAGCGTCGGATAATAAAATATAGGTAAATAATTGACAAGTATTAGAAATTAAATATTAAAAAAAAACCGACTTTAAAAACGCGCAGATGCCATCACAACAACTTAACCAAATTTATATGGGACCACCCTTGAGATACCCCCTTACTAACAAAGAAGAATCATATAAATCGGACAAGGTGGTAAAGCATTGTCGCTAAACATACATAAAAAATGAAGAGTGAGGATTTTCTCATGAACCCAATTATTAGATTTTAACCAAATTTATATGGGACCACCCTTGAAGTACCCCCTTTCTAACAAAAAAAGAATCATTAAAATCGGACACGAAGAATTATTGCGACGAATTGAGAACCTCCGCCTTTTTTGAAGTCGGTTAATAATCTTTGGGATTCGTCTCACCATACTATAGAGTTTATTAAAGTTTTGGACGTTATCCACTATGATAGGTGGTAGTGGGTAGTGCCTCGATTTTTACAGGTTTTTCTATTGTAGTGCTGTTATTTTGTTTTGTGGCTGTAGTTGCTGAGGTGTCAATGAAGTATCCATTTTTCTTTTTTTTTTTTCATCTAAAAATATTGTGACTTTGACCTTCAATTCCGAATATTTCCAAAGTATTGCAACTTTGAACTTCTAGTACTATTTTAATCCATGCTAAGAGCTCCTAATTTTTTATCGCGTACTTGAGAGATACCACCCTGTATAAACATGATAAGAACGAAGCAATGCAAATATAGTGAAAGTTGGTCACCCAGTTGGTATTTGATTGATATTACCAATAAATAATCTTCGCGTTATGACCGAAACTAATACTTCTAATAAACGCATTTAATGAGTTTTCTTCAGAACTTGCGAAATTAGATAATTATGTTTAAAAACGAAATAGGATGTTAGTCTTTCCCAACAGTGGAACTAAGTAAATAAGTACTGAGGAGTGATCATTAAGTGAACACTACTTCAATTTAACAATAATAATTATAATTCTTGAAAGACTGACTAACTGTATTAAAAATTGTTTGTTCAATAATCTCTTAAAATCACTTTGTTGGTAATATTTCAAAACCACATGTATGTTTAAAGTCATTTTATAGGAGATAAAACAGTTAAATTTATAATATAATTCGGAAGTGCAATTTTTAATTATTAATTATTTATTAACATTAATTACTTATGAATATTTATATGAATCGTGCAGCCATAACAATTATTACTAATATTAGATACTTCCTCACGACCCACATTTATAACAAAACACAGAAAATAGCTTTTTACGAGTATACTTGACTTTATCATTGAACATTTACTTTATAAAGTTGACACATGGAACTGGTGTTTATTTTTTCTTCTAAATTATCTAAGAAAATAAGTTTACTAAAGTTTTCCACTACATTCTTCAATTCCAACAGGAGATAAAAATAGTATATTTTGTCCCTTTATCACTTATGCCCGCACCTACAAGTAAATATATTTAAGCCATTTACCCTTTAACTTTGACCAAGTAAAAATATTTGAACCCTTTACCCCTTAAACCTGCCAATTTAAAAATATTTGGATCCATTACCCCTTAATTCTATTTAAGTAAAAATATTTGGCTCCTTTGCCAAGTACATTTGCGCATGTAAAATATTTTAGCTTGCCCATGTAAAAATAATATTTGAGCCCTTACTCTTTTTATTTCTAATATCAAATTCAGATACGAGCTCGTTTCTGGATTTCGTTAAAACTCGTTCAAAAATCATCGTTACTTCACAATCCTGTATGTTCTTCACTTAAGTTAGTGATGAGGTTAGGGATGAGGTAATTTAGGTTCCACTGACAAATTTTTTTCTCCTGGGCTCGTCTGACTATGTCTCCGAATAACGCTGAAGCCTATTGGCTTATTGTGTTTTACCCCATGTTAGTTCATAGCACCCACTCTGTCACCTTTGTACCTTGTAC